TTCCAAATGGTCTTGTCTGTGGGTGATACTTTCCATTGAACTTTTAAGTTGGTTTAGTGATTCCTTCCCTTCAATGATTTCTTCTTTATTTCTTCTCAGGACCTCTGATATATCTTTACAGAAGTGATCTTTCATCTCCTGAAGAGATTCTGTTATTTTACTGCAAAACTCCTGTGCCTGCTCTCTTATAAAATTCTTTAAGTTGTAGTACATTTTTTCTAAATACATCCTCAACTCCTTCTCTGATATTTTTTCAATGGATTCTCTTATGGGAGCAGCTTGGTTTGTTTGGAGCACTTTATTCCCTTGTTTTTTCATTGTGTTTGTGCATCTTCCCATCTAGCCGGGTGGTTCTGAGGCAGGATAGTTTCTACTCTGTCGATGTGAAGTGTCCCTGGAGGTTTCCAGAAACTCGCACATCTAGGCTCCGGTTACTGCAGGCTCTGCCACACTGCAGGACCCAGAAGGCTCACCAACCGAGGGCGATGGAGGAACTCCGGGAGAGAGAGAGCCAATATCTTTATTTTTTATGTGGTGCTGAGGTTGGAATCCAGTGCCTCACAGGTGCTAGGCGAGCGTGCTACCACTTGGGCCACAACTCCAGCCCTGGGAAGGTGATTTTAAAATATATCTGAAACTGCAAAGAGTTTAGATGGCCAATAAGAACCAAAAATAACAAAACAAAACAGAAGAAGTTGGAGGACATACATTACCACCTGGCTGGTTTATTATAAAGCTTCAGTAATTAAACAGCGTGGTGTTGGCACAAGGACACACAAACAGATCAATGAAACTAGAGCATCCAGAAAGGGACTCACACATGCAGCACCTGATTAATGACACTGGAGTGCAGTAGAGAAATGAGGGCCTTTCAGCAGGGTGTGGGGTCAGATCGACCACCACATAGGGAATGGCAATTTGGGCCCATACCTTACACCATACACAAAAGTCAGTTCCAGATATACTCTGAGGCAAAATGCAAAAGGTGAAACATTATTAGAAGAAAATAGCATTTTTTCATGAATTTGGAATAGGTAAGGATTTCCTAATCTTGCTATAAAGAAAACACTGTAAAAGGAAAGATTGATAATTTAGACTGCATTAAAATTAAGAGCCTCTGTCATCAAAACACCATTATAAAGAGAATGAAAAGGAAGCCACAGCCAGAGAAGATATTTGTGACGTATATCCAGCAAAGGGCTGGAGCTGGGGCTGGGGCTCAGCGGGAGAGCGTTGCTGGGCATGCGTGAGGCCCTGGTTCCATCCCCAGCACCAAGAGGGAGGGAGGGAGGGAGGGGAGGAGCACTTGGACTAAGAACCTGGACAGGGTCGTAGGTAGGCCCCTCTCCAGAGGATGTCAGATGTCCATAAGCGCATATTGAATGGCCTTGGTCTTCATGCAGTGATGTCACCACCCACCAGCAGAATGGGTCCACTGAAAACGCTGAAGAACAGCAGACGTGGACAGGCAGCTCTCAGATGGTGCTTCCTGACTAGGGAGCTGGGTGGTCACTGATGGTCCCCAGCCTCAGGTACTATTTTGGCTTGTGCAGTGATGGCAGTGGGCATGTCCCCGGGTCACTGTGAATCTGAGAATCGGTGTCAAGCCCTTTTTCAGTGCCAGGCCCAGCAGACTTATTGAATATTCTCTTCAGAACTCGCTCCCCACCCTGTCTCTGTCCTAAAGGCCTCCTAGCAGCAGTTATACTAGTTTTTGTTTGTTTTCTTGGAGATTTGTCAAAGCAACAACAACAACAATGACTAGTACTTGTCCTACACATAGTAACTGCCAGTTATCTCTTTACTTACTCAGTCCTCCCAACACCGCCATAGTAGAGAGGTGCTGATGTATTCAGGTGCCATTGCTGCTCCCACTTCACAGCTGAGATAACTGAGGCACATCGAGATGACGGAGCTTGCTCAGGATCATCTAGCCGATAAACGGCGCAGCTGCACTCAGACCCGGCAGGCTGGCACCATGTCTGTGATTAACCTGAGTACTGCACTGCCTCTCCAGAAGCTACCTAGACTGCACACTTCCTGCTCTGACCTCCCCTCACAGTGTCTCCTTGAGGTCTGCTTTCCCTGACCTTGGTGAGCCTGAGTGCACCTTCCTAAGCCCTGGAATATTACTGGTGTCATCCAGGAAGGATGTTGATAATGGCCCCATCATACTAACCACAGTTTAATAGTGATAGCAGCTACCCTGCTTCTTTGGCGTGCTCACCATGTGCCAGGTGTCGAGCTTGGCTCTTTCTGCACACATTGAATCTCTGAAACAGCCCAGTGATGGGACTCCACCTGTTGCCACTATTTTATAGAATCCAGGTTGCTGAGAGGTGAGATGAAGTGCTTTGTCCAGGCCCACAAGTTAGGAAGTGGCAGCACCGGGGATCAAGCCCTAGTCTGTTGGACTCCAGAGACCAAACTCTTCACACCAGTCTGTGCTGTCACATGCCGGGTCTGGCATTTGGACCCTAGCCTATTTTAGCTTGTATGCTATGATCAAATGTAGGTTATGAAGACCATCCCCTGCCCCATTCAGCATTTACTGAGTACTCACTGGAGTACTAAATATTTTGGAGTGTACTGGGGTAACCAAGATCAACAAGATGATGTTTCAGACCTTGAACTCTAGTAAAGGAGGCAGGTCATTGTGTGATATGTGCAGTAGCTAACACCCAGGTGCCAATGAGGAGGGACCAGGCACATCTAGAGGGGTGAGGGCAAGGGGGCCTTCTTTAAGGAAGTCATCACAGGAGGCATGGAGCTGGGCTTTGAGAGGTGAGCAGGAGTGTCCGGGCTGACTGGGCAGCAAGGGCACGAAGCCAGTCTGCTGTGGTCAGCCTGGTCCTAAGACTTGAAACTCTTTGGCAGCCTTCAGAACAGACACCCTCACCTAGGCCACCACCTCATGTCGAGTCAGGAGTGTGATATATGATGCTAATGAACATGTGTCATTTACACAGAAGAAAATTCCAGAGAGGGAGAATCCGTCCCTCTCCCTCACTGCCACAGTAAACAATGCTTTGTCACTGACAGGGTGTTGGGCATTCTGTGCACTTCATGGAGAGTGTCACTGGTATCCACAGCAGGAGTGATATGGTGGCTGTCATACTTGAGAGGGGTCTGGGACTGTAACTCAGTGGTAGAATGTGTGCTTAGCCTGCTTGAGGCTCTGGGTTCCATCCATAGCCCTGGGATGGGGTGGGGGAATGACAAAACAACCCATAAATACTTTAGTGGGCTGGGGTCCTGCCACCTAGGAGCCTGATTGAATGGGGCTGGAGTAAGGAGCACCTTAAGTAGGTGGTACAGGAGGCCTGGGAACCACAGTCTGGAACTCTTTGAACATCACAGGGCAGATGTACTTGAAGTGAGAGAGACCCCGTAGGTCCAGGGAGTCCAGTGCTGTGGTGTTACCCTGTCACAAAGGGAAACTTACTTGTGCCCCCACATGTGGCACTGCTGGTAGATTTGGGCACAAATGGTGAAGGATTTATATTTTTGGAGGGCCACTTATTGCGTTTTAAAAATTATATGCAGTTTTTGATCCAGTTAGTTGTTTGGTTATACCATGTCTTTAAAGATAACATACAGCAACAATATTTTTTACTTTTTTGTTTTTGTGGCGCTGAGGATTGAACCCAGGGCCTTGTGCATGCAAGGCAAGTACTCTACCAACTGAGCTATGTCCCCAGCCCCAAACAGCAACAATATTAATTAGTAAAACCCAGCCCTGTGCAAGCAGCAGGTGGTTCCTAATTTTCCCATCTGCAAGGTTCTGCCTCTCTGTGCCCTCCCATTTTTAGAGACTGTAGACAGGACAGTCCTATAAAATCTCTCACCAGCCCTGTCCCGATCACCAAACTAGAGAGAGCTATAAAGAAACATCAGGAGGTGACTTTTCCTGAGTCACTTCCTCTTCCGTCTGCTTTTCTTTCCCAGGCCTCAGGCTTCCTTGACCCATGAATTTCCCTGGACCTGTGTGGTCCCTTGAGAAGCTCTGGTAGATGCACTCCCGGGGCGTCAGGTCAGGCTGCTGGTCCCATGCTGCCCAGGACTGGCATTGCTGGTTCTCTTGGTTGTCCTCTCTGCCAGCAGGGAGGCCTGGAGGAGTGACCTGTGTCTTCCTGTCTGGGCTGGCATTGACTTCTAGGCCCATGTGGCAGAAGGACACTGCTGTAGCCTCTTAAGCCCACTCAACTCTGAATTTAACAGTCTGTGCTCTGCGAGTTTGGCCATTGTCCCTGGACTGCTCTCATTCTGTTTTAGCCGTAAGTTCTAATGGGCCTGCTACACTGTGAGAGGGATTATCCCAAGGGTAATTTTTTTTTTTTTTTTTTTTTGGTACCGGGAATTGAACTTGGGGACACTCAATCACTGAACCTCATCCCCAGCCCTATTTTGTATTTTATTTAGGGACAGGGTCTCACTGAGTTGTTAGTGCCTCCCCGTTGCTGAGGCTGGCTTTGAACTCGCAATCCTCCTGCCTCAGCCTCCCTAGCTGCTGGGATCACAGGTGTGCGCCACTGCACCTGGCCAAGGGTAATCTTCACTGCACAGGTTTTTTTGTCCCAGTAGCTGGCTTTGGCACCCATCTCTCTGAGTCTCTGATGCCTGTCCTGTGTTAGACATTTGGCCTGAGCCCTATGTCTCCACCTGCATCAGAATCAGCAGGGAGTGTGCTTCCCTTTGCATCCAGATTCCTCCTGTCCGGCCTGCTTTCCAGGCAGTCCTCTTGTACACTGAAGTTTGAGAATGACTGTCCTCAAGGGTTTGAGGATGATTTTGCCTCAATTTAATAGTAGTTGTCCCTGCTGTTTAATTTTCAAAGCGTAGCCTGCCATTTTTCTTGGGTGAAATGTGTCTAATCTGAATGTCAAATTGTGCTGACCAGATCTGAAAAAGCCCTGTTGTGTTGTCTCCAGATGTCACTAATGGGCTTTGGGCCTGGCTTTCGTGTTGGTTGGTGACCTTTCTTTCTTCCTTTCTCTTAGGTATCTGTACCATGTTTTGACTAAGAACACCACCGTCACAGAGCAGAACCGGAACCTGCTGGTGGAGACCATCCGTTCTATCACCGAGATCCTGATCTGGGGAGACCAGAATGACAGCTCTGTATTTGAGTAAGGGTTTCTAGTGCTTGTTTTTGATTCTTCCTCTTCCTTTGAATGTTTTTCCAAACGTACACCATGAGTCATTCCTGATGAGGCCAGAACTTGATGCTGATTTAGTCTTGCCCAAATCTTTCTCTATAAAACATCCTTTAAACACAGTAGAAGTGCAAGCCCCAAAGGGGGAAGTTATGGAAATGAGTGACTCCAGAAAACCCCAAAATGTCATGAAAAATTTTCCAAGAAGCCTGATTGTCCCATTAAGGGAAGGAGAACATGTGCTGAGTGTAGCCTGGCCTGGAGGAGCCACCAAGGACCCGTGAGGGCCAGGCACAGTGCCGAGCTTTGAGGACACAGTCCAGGGAGCTTCCCTGCCCCCGGCGGAGGCCCTGTTGGTGTCCCCATTGTTGCTTAAAGCCGTGGAGCAGGTAGGTGGTGAGGGAGGCCAACACCAAGCCCAGGAGGGCTGTCTCCCCTTTCTGCACTTTCTAAATGAGCAGTCTCAGGCCAGGTTTCTTGTCTTCTGAGCCACAGTTTCCTTGTCTCTAAAGGAGAAAAAGAAAGTCCCCCGTCTGGTGTCTGGTACACAGCAGGTGCTAATGGATGATGATGACTGATAGAAATAGGTGTGCCTACTAGACAGTTAGAATGCAAAGACTTAAACTATGAACCACCTCCCTGTCTCAGCACAGAAGGATTTGGGATTGGTTACAGCCACCATATACATATTCATTCTCAAATGTGTATATATACAAACATGTTCTCAAATACACATGCATGTATATTCATACATAATATGAATGTATGTATGTGTACATGCGTGTGAGTGTGTGTGTGTATATATACATATATACGTTAAACATACATGCATTCTTAATTATAAAGGCCATTTTTATATTTATTCTTTAAAAAATATTTATTTTTTAGTTGTAGTTGGACACAATACCTTTATTTTATTTATATTTATGTGGTGCTGAGGATCGAACCCAGGGCCTTGCACATGCTAGGCGAGTGCTCTACCGCTGAGCCACAACCTCAGCTCCAAGGCCATTTTTAAAACCTATTTTTAAAAAAGGTATTTCATTTCCAATCTGGCTTATTTGTTATCCTGAGTTGATTTTCAGGACAGCTTTATCTTTTAATCCATAAAATCTCCTTGTGAAAAGTGCAAAGCTAGGACCCAGGCCATGATCCCTAAAGGAGAATGTGGGGCACTGCTTATAAGTGGGACTGTCTCCCCTTAGGTATCCATGGGTAATTTGTTGGGTGTTTATAGCTTTTTGCACATGAGAGAGAACATTGGCATAAAGGTTAGCAATTATGTCTCCTTGACCAGCTCAGAGAAGCTACTGAGCTCTTGGAGTGCAGTGATTCTGCACTAGCAACTCAGTGAAATCCCCAGAAAATCTTGTTTTTAATAAATTTTTAAATTTAAGTGCAATATTATAGAAAAGTTGGCAGAGGTAGTGCTGAGAGTTCCTGTATGCCCCTGAACTGGTTTCTGTCTTGTTAACGTTTCCTATCACTAGGGAATGTTTGTCACAACTAAGACGTTAAGCTTGGCACAATTACTTTAAGTTCAGACTTGATTTTTACCAGGTTTTTGAAAACCTGAGAGTGTCGGTGATACTTGGGAACCACTGATTTACACCAGCTGAAGGGAAGGTAGACAAAACATGGCAGATGACAGAAATCTCTGAAGGGCAAAGTGGATGGCATTTAGGCACACAGGTTCCCAGATCAGAGTTGAGAAAGCTGTCAGCATTTTTTTAGGTTCATATTTATCCATTCATTTGCTCTTTCACGTATTCAAACAGAAATCACGTGGCACTGAGGAAGTGTCAGGCCCCTGATCCCACCACTGAGGAGCTGATGGTCAGGGAGCAGAGACACCCAGAAGTAAGTCACTAGCTGACACGTGACAGCAGGGATTTTGGTGAACATCCCAGATAAAGATTATCCAGTTTTGGCTTGAAGGCACAGAACACATTACCAGAAACATCATTTTCTTCCTTTAGAAAAGACACTAGGGGTTCTACTAGGGGGTCCTGTTTCTAGCATGAACCTCCAAAAGCTGGTGCCCCCAGGCCACATGCAGGCAAGTGCCCTGTCCAGAGCAAGAAAGGCATAAGGAAACGAGGGGGCTGGTGAGGGTCCCTCCACCATGTCAGCACCTTCATCTTTATTTTCAGTTCTTTTCCCAAAATATGGAAACTACAAACTTGACAGCTTTGGAACCCAAATTCTTATTAGTCTTCATTATCTTATCCCTTTGCGGGAATTCCAATTACTGATTTTCTTAACAGTCAAAGATAAGGAGAGCAAAGGAAAGAGGGTTGGTAAGGAGCAGTACGGTCACAGGATGTGCAGTGGAAAGGGCTGCGTGTTGGGATTGCGGGTGGAGACGGCTGTGTGATCACTTAGTGGGCAGAGCTTGTTCCCATTCTGTCGGAAATCTAGCTCACTGCGTCTTGAATCAGCACTGTTCTTACCTTCTGGGGAGAAAGGTTTCTGAGCTGAAGGGTTGCGCATTGGCCTGAAGGAAGATGGCATCCTGGGAACTGGACAGGATGGAAGCCGTGGCCCTGTGGTGGTGTGACCTGGTGTCCCTGCTGATGCTTCTGGGGGGCAGGGTGCAGGGCTGGGAATATCACCAGAGGATGCTTTTGGTTTCCACTTATTGAAGCAAACCACTGACCCTTGCTCATTCTCTCCCCAGCTTCTTCCTGGAGAAGAACATGTTTGTTTTCTTCTTGAACATCCTGAGGCAGAAATCGGGCCGCTATGTGTGCGTTCAGCTGCTGCAGACTTTGAACATCCTCTTTGAGAATATCAGTCACGAGACTTCACTTTGTAAGGACATTGCTTGACATTTGCGTCTGTCAGCAGGGTGTAGCTTAATATGGTTTTTGTATATCTGTGCTTGCTGTATATTAGTCTGTCTGGGCTGCCCTAACAGTACCAAAGCCTGAGGGCTTAAACTATAGATTGGTTTTCTCACAGTTCTGGAGAGTAGAAGTCTAAGTTGAAGCTATCATCAGGGTTGGTTTCTGGTGAAGGCTCTCTTCCTGGCTTGCAGATAGCCACTGACTTAGTCTGTTTGCTGTTGCTATAACAAAATACCTAAGACTGGCTAATTTATAAAGCCAGGGTTTATTTTGGCTCATGATTCTGGAAGCAGAGAAGACCAAGATTGAATGGAGACATCTAGCATGGGCCTCATACCCCTCAACTTGGTGCAGAAAATGCAAGGGTAAGAGACACATGTTAAAGGGAGAGAATGTTTGCTTTGTAACCTGCTCTTGAGGCAGCTGGTCCAGTCCCTGAGAGCCAGAACTCAGAGGAGAAAAGCATGAAGCTGTTCCTGAGGGCTCTGCCCCGTGACCTAAACGCTCCATGCCAGGCTTCCCCTCCCAGCACTGCCACCTAGGGGAGTTAAGATCCAGCACATGAGCCTTTGGGGACATAGTCAGACCATAGCAGCCACTTGCTCACTGCCTGGCCTTTCCTCTGTGTGTGACAGCAGAAGTGACGGCAAGATCAAGCAAGGGAGTTGGGAGAGGACCAGATTCTGGTGTCTCCGCTTTGTATATGGCCACTAGTTCCATCAGATTAGGACCTCACCCAACCCTAATCACTTCCCAACCCTGCTTCCAGATACGTCACCGTGGGGGTAGGACTTCAACCTGACGCGGATCTGTGGGACACAGTTGGGTCTGCAACACTGTTGGTTCCTGTGCGTGGGGTTCCGTGAAGGGCTGGCAGAGGCCCTCTGCTGAGTGAGTGGGTGTTTGCATCTCCTGTGACTTGGGAGTGAGACTTGGTTGCTGAACCGCGGAGGAGGGGGGGGGCAGGGAGAGGAAGAAGGGGCAGCCACCTCCCTCCTTCCCGACAGTGTTGTGGCCCAGCTGGTGAGCGGGGCCCTGTGCTCACTAAGCCCACTTTCTTCATCTGTAACAACCACCCCCATGAGACACGAGCTGTCGGTGCCCCCATTTGCACACCAGGAGAGCTGGAGGGGACAGCTCTAGTGAGACCAGAGCAGAGAAACCGCTTCAGCCCAGGAGCTGGGGTGTGCATGGCTCCAGGCCCGTGGCCCTTGACCGTGTCCAGACACATTGGTGGTTGTCACACTGCAGGTGGACGGGGTGCTGCTGGCGTCCAGCGGGTAGAGGCTCTCCAGCCTGCGTGGTCACTGTGCCGAGGAGCAGCAGTCCTGGTACAGCGCTGGGTCTTGGATCTCTAGGAGGCTACACCAGGCCCAGACCCTGCCTGCAAGAAATTCGAGGGGACAAGTGGCTGAGTGGTTCTCTGTCCTCAGGACACCTTGGGCTAGTGTCTCCCCAGCGGGAGCAGCTTTACCTGGTGGTCTTGCTTCCTGGCAGCAAGAGCTGCTGCACTGTGGCTCCAGCAGCGGCCACTAGATGGTGCTGCTGTCTCAGAGGTGCCTCGCACTTGGTGACCCCAGGCTGACAACTGCGGGTTGATTGATGCCTCCCTACGCGGCCTCCCCTGTTATCGGCCTCTCTTGCGCTGGATATGAAACAGTGGTGGTTTCTAAACACCCAGGGGGAAAGAGCCAGCTCGTGGCACAGGACTGTGACCCAGCCAGGCTGGGGCTGAGGGCGCCCTGCTCCCTGCGGGTGCCTGGGAGTCAGCTCTGCAGCTGCAGCTGTCCTCTGTCCAGCAGAGATGATAGCAGCTGAGTGGCAGCAGATAAGGGTATGGGATGCAGGGCTCAGCGGGGTCTGGCAGGGAGGGCAGGGGCACGGTGTCGGTGTGATCATTTAATCCAGGGTGCCCTCAGGTCTTATGTCTGCTAACCCCTTTCAAACCAAGGTAGGCACAGGGCGAGGGGATGAAGACGGGTTTAAATTTTGGTTTTTTGTATGCGTTTAAGGTACACATCTTGATACCTGTGCACATTGGCGTGACCACCTCAGTTAAGTCGGTGAACATAGTTGCCTTTTGTGTGGTGAGAACACTTAGAAATGACCTTTTAGGGAATTCCAGGTGTCCATCACAGTATTGGTGGCTGTTGTCACCACCCTGGGCGTTAGATGCTCAGAATTCGCCCACCTGGCACTGGGGCTGGGTTCGCCGACCCACGCCTCGCTGTCCCCACCCCAGCCTCTGGTAGCCTCTTTCTGCTCTCTGTCCCCATTCGCGCAGCTCCTTGGGTCGTACTCACAAGTGAGCTCAGGCAGCGCGTGCGGCTTTTCTTGTCCTGGAGTCAAGGAGGAGACCTGCTCCGAGAGTGGCAGACCCCTTGCTGTGTGGGCAGTTGGTCAGAGGGCTTCTGGGAGCCTGAGGGAAACGGCAGCAGTCACTGCCCAATTGTAAGCTGGCATTTGCAAGGGATGAAAGGAGAAGTGCTCTGTGTTTATTTGTATTTTATAATCATAGAAAGTGTCTTCATTATAAAACAAGATAGGAAGAATTTACAAAAGTATGGAAAGTCGGTTTCTGTCTCCCCTTCACGGCGGCACGCACACAGACTGTCTTCCTGTTTGCTCTGCTTTCCCTCCTTCCCAGGGTCGCCCAGATCCTCTCCTGTCCCTTCGAGTAGCCCTCATGGATCAGGTTGGAGAGCTGCCCTTGCTTGGCCGTCATCTGTTAGCCCTGACCGTGGGCATGTAGGTGCTTTCCACACTTTCACTTTGACATGCAGACGCTTCACAAATACATCTATCACCTGTTGAGTTTGGTGACCTAAGTGACAGAGGCCCGAGAGACTGAGATTACTTACAGACTCCTGGGTTTATTATAAAAGGATACCACAGAAAGTCGGCCACACAGTGATCAAGGCCCTCCCCTGCCCCCGCAGTGGTCCCCCAACACTCAGTCATCTCTTGGAGGCCCTGAAAAAGTCCCCACGAGGAGTGGTCTATGCCCTGGCTGTCCTAGGTCTAGACACACCCGGGAGGCTTCCAACGTACATCTGGAGCTGCCAGCATGGGCATCTGTGCCACGGGGCTCGGCAAGACGGCCTGTGTTCCCTCCTCCTCTAGCCCATTGACCCTCCCCGCCGGTCCCCACCCACAGTCAGAAGGACAGAGAGAAGTGCTTCAGGCATGAGGGTCACCTGGGCTGCGTGGCACACACGTGATTGCAGGGGGCAGATAACCTGTGGGGTATTCAGAGTGGAGTTACTCACAGCAGCAAAGGCCGCACACGTCAGCTGGTCATGCAGGTGTGAGGAGCAGGAGAGGCCAGACCCAGGGGCAGTGCGCCCGGTCACCGACGCCAGCTTCAGGAGCAGGCAAAATGAGTCTGTGGAGGTGGGAGTCGGGGTGGGGCTGGCCTTGGAGGAGGACAGCCTGGCGGGTGCAGCACGGGAACCTTGGAGTGCTGGGGGCGTAACCGCTCTCCTGTGGTGTGCATGTTCCAGACCCCCAAAGTCTGAGGGGGCTGTGTTGAATACACAGGTGGATGTATTGAGCTGTCTCCTTCGCATCTGTGACATGTGTAAGCACCTGCCTTCTCTCGGAGTAGGCCAGAGCGCAGCCTTAGGAGCCGTTCCTGTCGGAGTTTGAAAACTACTTCTTGACTGCAGTCTGCAAGGCCGTCTCCTGCGCCTGCTCAGAGTGCACAGTGGCCTTCCCAGGGGCTGGCTTCCACCCTGCGTGGTGCCACCCTGCGGCCCTGCCAGGGACCTGAGGCTGGCTGCTCTGGTGATGTGGTCTTTCCAGCAGAACGCTCAGTCATCCCTGGATGAAGCTGAGCTGACGGGCTGCTTCCCACTCTCCTCGGAGCAGCGGTGCCGGCCCTGCACTCCGCTGCTGGAGCAGGCTGAGAAGACGGTCCCCTGCCCGTGCCGTCCTGGGGGCTGCTGTGTTGGCTCCTTCCACCCTGTGACAACCTGAGGAGGACCTTGTTTCCAGACAAGTGGACCGCAGAGTGGGGAGGGCGGGCAGCTCGCCCAGGTCTCATGTCTGGGAGGTGGCAGGCAAGATCTGGACCCAAGCAGCAGGGATCCTCGTGCACATCTGGACCCAGCGCCTCTTGAGCAGACTGCCCAAGGAGCCCGTTACCCACCCATCCCCGGGGACCCTCGCCCACAGGTCCGGCTGGGTGCCGCCTCTGCGGTCCCCGCCAGCTCTAGGGCATGCTGTGCGGTCGGTCTGGGCACTGGCCTTTCAGGAGCCGGGCTCTGAGCCGTGTCACTGTGCTGCCTCGCCTGTCCCAGCAGGTGCCCGTCACATCCTGCCTTTGACCTCTGTAGGGAACAGGGGAGACGGAACGGGCTCTTGCATTAGCAGCCCTGCTCTGCAGGTGGCTGGCGAGGGCTGGAGAGGAGCTTGTCCACCAGGGGCCTCACGCTGAGGCCTCACGCTGCACGCTGCAGCTGCTGGTGGTCTGTAGACCTCGTTTTGTTTTAAGAACTGGTTGATGTCATGGCCACCACTTCAGGACCCAGAGGTGCAGCTTCCAGCCAGTTTCCGGTTTCCCTTCCTCAGGTGAAAGCCCTCACCATGCTGGGCCGGTTGGCCCCAGGCCCTCAGTGCCCAGTTTTCGCGCCAGTCCCTGTTACTGTGGCCATGACGGGCTGCAGCATCATGAGCTTGACCCCTTCTCCGGGACTTTCTGTCTCTGTGTCCTCAGGCAAGGCGCCCAACCTTCCTGAGCTCCTTTCTCATCTGCAGACCCGAGGCCGAGCCTGGCTCTGCAGCAGCTGTGACCCTGAGTCACAGTGGGAAGCACTGAGCCGTGGCGCCTCGGGTCCAGCAGGCTGTGGCCTTGTGAAATGGCACTGCTGTGAGGAGGGAAGGCCCTATGTGGCAGTCCTGTGTGGCATCCAGGGATGACGATGTGACTTTCGATGGCAAAACAGGGCAGCTTTTTATAGAAGGCAGAGCCGTTCCCCTCACTCGTGGGTATTAGTGAAAGAGCCCACGCACCGCCTGCCCTTCCCGCCGCGCCAGGTCGGCCTTGGCCAGCAGGGAAAGCAGGCGCTGAGGGGCCTTTCTTCTTGGTGTGAAGGAGGGACAGGCTCCCCCCGGCGTCGCCTTTCCCCTTGCTAGTGTGTGCGCAGCCAGGGTTTCTTGGCGAGTTGACAGTCACCCCGTCATCGTGGGTGACCCAGCAACCCGGGGCCTACTGAGCGCGGGGGCTGCCGTGGCCCCACACGTGCCGGCACCCTGCCTGCCCTTCCCACTGGAGGTCACCTGTCCCGCTGTTGTCTCCCTCCAGATTACCTGCTGTCCAACAACTATGTGAATTCCATCATCGTCCACAAGTTCGACTTTTCTGACGAGGAGATCATGGCATATTATATATCGTTCCTGAAAACACTTTCGCTCAAGCTCAACAACCACACTGTCCACTTCTTTTACAATGAGGTGAGTGTTTGCCAGGGGCACCTGGGTCTAGAGCTGACCACGTCACAGCTTGGGTCACCATCAGTGACTGTCACGGCAACACCCTTTAACTTTGGCACACCTTAAAGGTTGCTTTTAATTCAACAAATTACTTTTTCACTTTAAATGTAAAATTCAGCCTGTGCTGAGAGCTCTATTGTACTTGGCAGAGTTGTCCAGTAGTGACACCCTGTAGGAGAGACCTGAGCGCTCGGTCAGGCAGGCCTGCTTTATCCACTTCCTTGCTCTGTGACATCAGGGAAGTTCCAGTCCCACCTTGAGCCTCGATTTCCTCATCTGAGAAATCGGTGTGAAAATATTTGCCTTGGCTTTTCAGGGATTGAATTCAATGAGACGGTTTTTAAAAAAATGTTTTCTAGTTGTCAGTGGGTCTTTGTTTATTTATATGCGATGCTGAGAATTGAACCCTGTGCCTCACACATGCCAGGCAAGTGCTGTGCCACTGAGCCATGACAGAGAGGATATTGTAAAGTGCTGAGGATGTACTATGGACAGTGCTCTTCTCTGCAAGCTAACGCCCCTGATTCCTTGGGAGAATCAACAACTGAAATAGATAAATTGCTGTTGCTTTCACTATTAAAAGGAACTTGAGGGGCTGGGGCTGTGGCTCAGTGGTAGAGTGCTCGCCTGGCATGCACGAGGCACTGGATTTGATCCTCAGCACCACATAAATGTAAAATAAAGACATGGTGTCCACCTAAAACTTAAGAATGAATATTAAAAAAAAAAAAGGATCTTGACCAATAAGGTCAATTTATCCCATATACTAAAAGGTACAAACACCGGCTGTGCTAGGTCCGCTTCATCCTGACTCTCCCACTTCATCAAGGGCCCAGGCTTTTCCATCTTCCTTCTCTACTGACTGTTCAGCTGGCGTCTGTTCTCTGGTTCTATTCCTCATGGTCACAGGATGGCTGCAGCAGCTCTAAACATCACATATTTACATGCTACTGCTGAAATTTCTGATGAATCACTTCCCTTCTTGTGTCCCTTTTTTACTTCCAAAAACAACTTTCTCAGAAATCTCCCACCAGACTTTCCTTCCTGTCTCATTGATCAGAATTGCATCACATTTCTCCCACAGTGTGTCCGGAGTTTGGAGTTGGCCTGGCAGAAGTACTTTGGCACAGTTTCCCAGGAGGCTAAAGTCACCTGAAACCTGGATCAGGGTGGAGGATCTGTATTCCCATGGGTGGCCAGCTTGGTCTCCCTTTGTATGGCCCTCTTCACAGCCTGCTCAAGTGCCCTTGTCTCAGCAGCCGCTTCCCTCAGAGGCTGCCCCAGAACCAAGGCAAATGGGGTGTGGCACGACCTGCTGCGGACGTCCCACGTACCATTCTGCCCTGTTCCTGGTCACGCAGGGCAGCCTGGCTCAGTGAGCGAAGGGGCACGAGCTCGTGGTCCAGGGGTGAGGCTGTCTGGGGCCAACTCAAAGGCTGCTGCCAGCCGCACACTGTGTGCAGTGTCCGATTGGTGACCACGTCTGCTCCCAGCCTGTGTTGGGATCACGCTGTAGTCCACATGTATCTTCTGTATTTGGACAAATTCTGTCTAGCTGTCTCATCTGGTGTGGCAACGGTAGCCTGAACCTTGACTTTAGTTGTTCAGTGGTGGGGAGGAGCTGGTCTCAAAGGGAAGAAATACTAGTTGTCAACCACAGAACACTGGCAGTTTGAAGATTAACATCATGGGGCCCAGTACCTAGCACATAGTAGGTGCTCAGTAAACACATCCAGCAAACAGGTGGACAATGTTAGCATTCTCCCAAATGTTCTCCCTGGTGCGAGAAAAGCCCCCTGTGAGGTTGGGACAGAGTGCGGGCTGGATTCTACCCCTGCTCAGATGCAGCTGGGCCTCTGCACACTGGGCTGGGAGGGCAAAACACTTGGATTCTGGGGTCAGAGTGGTGCTTCTGAGAGAGCACCCTTCTGGTCGCCACAGGGGTGGCCGGAGCCTCTCTCTGAGGTGGGCTTGATTTCCTCTTTAACGTGAGCCTGTGGAGTAGTTGTCACTTGGGAGCTGCATGCTTGACTTCTGGTCCTCACCAGAACACTGGTGCCTTGAGCCCTCCACAGCCCACCTGGCAGGGCTGGTCTTGGAGGCTCCCACTCCCCCGGCCCACCCCAGGCTTCTCCTGTGCTGCTCTGCATGCCCTCAGAGCCAGAGGGGTGCTGTGTGGGGGGCACATGGGCCTCCGGAGGAGCACTCTACTGTGTGCCTGGTCCAGAGCCCACTTCACTTTTTCTTAGTCTTGGGGCAGTCAGTGGGTTTCTGGGGTACTCCACTGTTTGATCTGGTCCTTTTTTCCCCCCATTTGGTGGTGCTGGGGATGGAACCCAGGGCCTCACGCAGTGCCGGGAGGGCTCTCGCAGTGGGGTACCTCCCTAGCCGCTCATTTTCCCTTTTTTTTTTTTTAAGAGAGAGTGAGAGAGGAGAGAGAGAGAGAGAGAGAATTTTAATATTTATTCTTTAGTTATAGGCGGACACAACACCTTTGTTTGTATGTGGTGCTGAGGATTGAACCCGGGCCGCACGCATGCCAGGCGAGCACGCTACCACTTGAGCCACATCCCCAGCCCCTCATTTTCCCTTTTTAACAGCAGAAGACACCTGGGTTCTTCAGCTTCCAGAGAAAAGTAGAGATTCCGAACTGAGTAAAACTTTACCTTTTAAATAAGCTGGAGTACATCCGAGGGAATCTGCCCTGGTCTTGAGTGCTTGCTGGGTGTCAGTTGCTGGGCTTGAGTCTTACCTGACGGGAAATGTCTCACTGAATCCTGGTGAGCAGGAGGTGGGTCTTGTCCTGCTAAGAAGCGACGGGATGGTGCTGGACCTGAGTTCTGTTTCTGCCAAGTCCTCACCTCCCTGTCCTTCCCCGTTCCACACTCCCCTGGGACTGCACTCCTGACCTGAGGTTCACAGTGGCAACTTTCCCCCCTTTATCCCACTTTCTGATGGGTTTCAGAAAGCTCGTGTGGGGCAGGCCTGTCTCATCATGGTCTGTGACTCTTTGGTACTTGTTTTGTTCTAGCATACCAATGACTTTGCCCTGTACACAGAAGCCATCAAGTTTTTCAATCATCCCGAAAGCATGGTTCGAATTGCTGTGAGGACCATCACCCTGAATGTCTACAAAGGTGAGTTCCCTGCGGGCTCTGCCTCGGCTGGTTCTAACAGGCAGCAAGAGCTTGCTCCCTCTGGTCTGTGCATCCAGCCCTTGCAGAGAAACCAGGGAGCTGCCCTGGTGGGACCCTCAGCTCAGCCTTGGGACCACTGTCTTCCCTGCATGTTTGGGTCTTGCTGGGTCCTGCTACCTAGAGTAGAGTGTCCCAAGGAGGCATCTGTGGGATTCAGAGTGGCCATGTTACAACTAGATAAAGCAAAGCTGTCTCTCAAGTGTTAGGTTTAAGAGTCTGTGTTTCATCTTATTGGGTATATTTCCGTACAGCTGGAAGGCAGGCTGACTTTAAAAAATGTGTAAAAGCACTTAGCAGCACGAACAGCAGGGGGCGATACCGTCTTTCTGTTCCCTGTGGAAAGCCCTGTGCTGCCAGACCCCTTCTTCCCGGACCAGCTTAACCCTGCACATTGCCTGCAGGAGCAGCCCTCCAGGGCCCTGCCCGCACCGGCAAGGCTGCCCCAGCTGCCCAGCTGCCCCAGCGCACCGAAGCTGGCTGGCCCCGTCTGTACCAAGGCAGCGCCTTGGGAGTTTCCTGCCTAATGCAGGTTCCTTCCCTTGTAGGCCCCACCATGGAGCTGGGGCTCCGCTTTCTTTGGGATTTCAGGGCTCTGGCCTTTGTGAGTCAGGCTGTTATTACTTGAGATGACCTGGGATTGGGGTGGGGGCTTCTCAGGGGCTCATGCCTGCCCACTTCTGGGATTACATTACATTTGAGAGCCCAGTCTAGTCCATGCAGAATCACAAACTGAGGGCCTGAGGGCTGAGACCAGTCCCCAGACATGTTTTAATTGGCTTAGATGGTTTTAAAAAGCATTGACAGTATCTAAAAATTGGGAAATCTTATGGAACAATCTGGGTTTCTGACTTGAAGATGTAGATTTGGCTATCTGGGCCCACAGTCCTGCAGGACAGGGGTCAGCTGGTGCTGAGAAGCAGCTGCCTGTTTTGGGTTGAAGCCTGGACTCCTCAGTTAACACGCCAGGTGGCCGCCTTTGCCCCCTGGGCCACGGCCAACCTGGCAGCCTCTGGGTTTGCGGCCCTGGCCCCCGCGGTGGTTGGTTTGCCGCCTGCTGCTGCCATTTTTCCTGGCGGTCTTCTGACCCTTCTCTTCTGGTTCAGATGCTCCTGCCCCACCTCATCTCCCCGAGAGCTGTCTCACCTTCCCAGTTCTAACCTTGTTAACTGTTGTCTGTTTCTGCCTTTCCTTCCATGACGATGCCTGTTCCTTATGCCAGTGTCATGTAAGTCGCTAACCTCTGGTTTTCCTCTTTCTTAACTTACCCTGACGTGGGAGTGAGGAGCCTTGCTTGAGAAGGGCGTCATTCTCTTGGGGTCAGCACAGGCCACTGCTCATGGTGGGCGCCCCAGTGCACGGACGCTGGCTGGCCCCGTGTGTACCTTTATTAAGCCTAGCATAAGAACGGCCTCGACGAGGACAGTTTTATGAATAAGATGAACATTTTCATGTATTTCCAGGAAAGACGATTTCAGATGATAGCAGAGGGCTTTTGCATGGTGGTTTTTGGTTGTTTTTTATCTCCCCAAGTCACTTTTGGTGGTCTGACTCTGACTCTCTGGTGAATTCCTCAGTGGACAACCAGGCCATGCTGCACTACATCAGGGACAAGACTGCCGTCCCCTACTTCTCCAACCTGGTCTGGTTCATCGGGAGCCACGTGATCGAGCTCGACACCTGCGTGCAGACTGATGAGGAGTAAGTGGCCCCTGGGTGTTTGGTGGGTGGGCAGAGTGTGAGGGGGACTCCGGGAGAACAGCTCTTCCTATGGTGTGGGCAGAGCGTGGGCTTGCGGATTGGAAACGGCTCTCCCCGCTGTTTAAAACAGTGGAGAGTTGGAAATGGCTCACCTGCCTCCCAGAGCCGGTACAGGAGGGTGCCAGTGCACCTGTCGGTGGTGCTGGTTAGGAGATTAGGGTGACCTGTCAGCTGAGGAGTGAATGACGAGATGGGGTCTGCCAGAGGCGGGGCAGTGTTGGCAGTGAAGTGAACCCAGTGCTGAGGCGCCACGAAACGCGAACCTCAGAAAATGGTGCGAAGTGGGGGAAGCCGACCCGGCCGTGCGCCCTGTGATTTCATCTATATAAAGTGCCCAGAATCGGCAGAGCCAGAGGCAGGGAGGAGATGAGAGGCTTCCTGGGCCGTGGGTGCAGGAGGAGGGGGCGTCGGGGGAGTGGGAAGCCACTGCTAATGAGCACGCGCAGGGCTTTTCTCCAGTCGACCTGACGGTGGCCCAACAGCTCTGGACACACTAACGACCCTGAGGCTGGGACGTAGCCCGGGGAGCGCACCTGCCAGCACGAGGCCCGGCTTCCATCCCCCGCACAAAAGAAAGGAGGGAGGAAGGAAAATGTTTAAAAACCATTCAATTACAGACTCTAAGTGGGTGAGTCTTATTATGTATGAATTACATCTCAACAAGTGTTTATAAAGTAATTGAAGAGGGTGATCTTGTCTCCAGAGGGGTGACTAGGAGTCCCACAGTGAGATTCCTCTCCCTTTGTGAGGGGCGTCCTTGCCTCGTAAGGTGTTTAGCAGCATCCGTGGCCTTACCCACAGAAGCCAATAGCATCTGGTCTTTTGCGGCTGTGACAGCAAAAATGTCTCCAGAGGTCACCAAATGTCCCCTTGAAGGCAAAATCACCCACACTGCAAAACATTGCCACAGAACGCCAGCTTTCCCTGGGTCTACTAGAGGTCCTGATGTAAGAGGGACCCAGGAAGGAGCTCTTATGGGGAGAGGAGCTGGGTAGATAAGATATGAGATCTGCTATGGAAAAAGAAGCGAGCACAGGTGGCTGCAGATCTGACTGAGCATTTGAGAAAACACGCTCCTTTGTGGGTCTGAACAGGCACCGATACGAGGCACCACCAGGCACTTGTTGCCAGAAAGACACCCTGGTCCAGGGAGGGAAGTGACTAGAGCCCTCCCTCTTTGGCTGCGCAGTGACATCTACAAGTCAGCAGCAGTGACCCACACCTGCTGTTGAGGGAGGGGGCGGGGCACAGTGTTGTCACAACAGGAGTTGACAGATTATGTGTAAAAAGACTCAATTACAGAGTTTATGAAAGTATGGGAGGAACTGTCTACAGAAGCAACCAGAGGTTAAAAACTGCCTCTCAGAGCCAGGAGGTGGGAACAGGGCTGGGCCAGGGGCCACTGCTTTTCATCGTCAGCTGAGCAGCATCTCTTCTTTGAGTTTTAAACCTGTCTATGTCACTTTGATATTTTAACCATTAAGTAGTGTATTTTAACCATTTAATGAGGTGCAATAAATCGCAACTAAAGAAAAAGGCATTGCGTGTGAACACTGTGGTCTCGGCGTGGTAGGTTCCCAGGTGCTTGTTAGGCTCCAAGGCTTTGCAACATGCATTTGCTGTAGATGTTTACTGAAGATCTTATTAAAATCTCTTCCAGCTGCCAGCAAGAATCGATCACTAGGGCGGGCATGGGGGAGCACGCCTATAATCCCAGTGGCTTGAGAGGCTGAGGTAGGAGGATTTCGAGTTCAAAGCCAGCTTCAGTAACTTAGAAAGGTGCTGAGCAACTCAGTGAGACCCTGTCTCTAAGCAGAATAATAATATAATAATAATAATAATAATAATAATAATAGGGCCAGGAATGTGGCTTAGTGGTTGAGTGCCCCTGAGTTCAATCGCTGGTACCAAAAAGGAAACAATCACTAGAAATTATGTAAAGAAGCAAAATTGGTCCTTCTGGTCCTCATTTTCTCAAAGTGTGTCATGCTGGACTGGCACATGTGCAGCCCCTGCCTCTGAGGTTGGTCATAGGAAGAGGCGAGAATGTGCCAGACGACTGTGGAGCCACAGTCCCTACGTGTCTGTCGGTGGTGGATGGTTGGTGGTGGCATTGTAGGGACCGTTATTTCCTTTTGCCTTTTATCTTCTTTTTAAATCTCCTGGGTTCTGAGTGTCGCCGGTTCCATCAGCAGCGCCTGGCTCTGGCTGTGCTGCTTGTGGCCGTGTGGCCGGGGTGGTGGGCACATGCACCGGGTGCTTTGGGTGGTCTCTGGAGTGTGCCTGACTCCACCCAGGAGACCCAGGCAGCCCGCCTGTTGCCAACTGCAGGGACACACAGACTTTCAGGCCAGGCCCGGGGATGCCTGTTGTGTCCTTGCTCTGTCCCACAGATGGTCAGGACCCTGGGGCAGATGTGGCTGCTGAGTAAGGGCCGGCTTTTCCCTTCAGAGGCCTCTGCAGCGTTTTAATTGTGAGGATTTAGGGCTCCATCAACTCTGCTGATCTGGGGAGCCGGGATCTTGCCGATCGACTAGTGGCTGCTCCCGTGCAGTGGCTTGCTAAGAGCTTCGCTAACTGGGTTTTGCTTCATTTGTCCCAATTATTTGGGGTTGCAGTTGTGGGTCGACTTGTTCCAAGGCCCTCATGGGGAGGGCCTCAGGAGTCCCCTAAAATGGGAGCAGTGGACTTGTCCATTTTCCTTTGTGTCTGTCCTCTGTGGGGTCAGGATGGGTGTCTCTTGAGATCAGTGGGCCTCAGTGTAAGTCCAGGGTGCTCATGTCAGGCCCGCGGCCCCAGCTTGGCCTGCAGACTGAGGTGGTGGTCTCTCTCGGCAGGCACAGGAACCGGGGCAAGCTGAGCGACCTGGTGGCCGAGCACCTGGACCACCTGCACTATCTCAATGACATACTGATCATCAACTGTGAGTTCCTCAATGACGTGCTCAGCGACCACCTGCTCAACAGGCTCTTCCTGCCCCTGTATGTGTCCTCCCTGGAGAGCCCCGACAAGGTGGGTCTGCGCCTGGCCACCGCCCAGCAGGCTGTAGCTGGGCTGCCCAAGAGGCCAAGGTTCACTCCTGAGGAAAAGGCCGTCTAGAGCTTGCTGGTTTTCCCAAAGAGAGCTGTCAGTTGAGTGAGGAAAAGCCCGATCACCGACATGAGAGGACACAGGAGACCCCTAGGATTCAGGCTTAGGTCTCTGTACCTCCTTCCCTGGGTCTTCTCACCCCAGCAACTTTTCCTGGTAGTTCCCAGAACTGATGGGTCTGCAGAGGATGCAGGACAGGCAGGGGTGGAGGACCATCCATAGTTCCGAGTCCTCTGTGGGGACAGAGGTGGCCAGTGGCAAGTCCTCTGCGCCCTCCCCCTGTGGGGGTTCTGGCTCAGAGGGGCTGAGGCGGGACTAGGCATCTGCATGTGTGACCTGTTCCCAACTGATTCTGAGCAGCTGCTTCTGGGACTCTCAGAAATGCTGATCCCGGGAGGGCCTGGGCCATCTCTCCAGAGTTGGGGGGAGAAAGGAGAGGCCTCAGCAGGAGAGCCCTTGTCGTCTGGCGGGGGGCCTCTGCAGGTGTGTCTCCAGGTCATTTCCTCTTGGGAGATGGAGCATGGGGGTTCTTGCCTCAAATAAGTTAATACGGTAGGAGAAAGTCGTGGCCTAACGAGCTCCAGCAGAGGCGGCTCCCGAGGCAGCAGCAGACCCTGGGAACTGGAGGGTTCAGTGCCGGGGTCAAGTTTCTGCTCTTCCCTTTCCTAACCCCGGGACCTTGACAAGTCAATTAATTTCCCAGCCCACTTTTTTTTTTTTTTTTTTGGTTTTAAAGTGGAAACTCTGAAGATCTCTCCCCTGCAGAGCTGGTGTGGGATGGGGCCCCAACCCTCCCCCTTCGTATTCTGAAGACCCTTTCCCAGGGAGAGAGCGGGCCTGGGGCCTCACCACGGGAGCCACAGGCCCCACCCGGGAAAGGAGCAGCCCTGGGAGCTTCAGGGACAAGCTCCCCTGGGTCAGCTGCTGCTCTGGGTTAGGGGTCTCTGAAGTCACAAGCTGGTCTTGCAGACGGCGCTGAGTGCAGTCAGGCTGTGCCTGTCACCAGGAGAGGGCAGCCTCCGGGACAGGAGGAAGTCGGGGGCCAGGCACCTCAGGTTCAAACCGATGGCTTTTCACATCATGTATTTTCTGTGGCTCCTTTTGTGACCCTGACCCCCTTCTCCCTCTTTCCCCTGACTTTCACTAGGGAGGAGAACGACCGAAAATCAGCCTGCCTGTGTCTCTCTATCTCCTGTCACAGGTATGTCTGCCCATTCTCTAGTGTCCCTGGCAGGTCTAGGTCTGTGCACTCTGCTGCCTGTTAGGAGGTCCCCAGGCTGCATCGCCATCTTTCTGTGCTCCATCTTGAAATAAAATCAGAAGACATGGAGAGGGTGTTCTATTTCCAGATACTGGGTAGAGGTGACTTGTGTGTTTTTTATGCAGGAGATGGAAATTTAAAGAGAAAGGAAAACTAAATCAAACCTGGCACTCATGCTTGGTTTTCACATGGGGACACAGGTTTCCCAGCAACGGAGGAGCGCTCTTGATACCCTGGAAGTGTGCCTTGTGTGGCTCTTATTCACAGTATATATATACATTTTTTAATATTTATTTTTTAGGTGTAGATGGACACAACACAATGTCTTTATTTTTATGTGGTGCTGAGGATTGAACCCAGGTCCCGCCGGTGTGAGGCGAGCACTCTACCGCTGAGCCCAATCCCAACCCCACAGTATTTTGAAATAAGCCCGGAACCGCTGGACCATGGTGTGCATCCCGTAGCACCTTTACTTAACAATTTCCTGTCATGAGGCTGTTTTTAAAGGGTTTTCTTGTGGTTCTAGTTCCCACATTACCTTCTGCAAGGTGTCCTACAACGGCCTCAGCTCCCGGACTCGGTCTTGAGCCCATCTGTCTGCCTCCCTCCGTCAGCAACTGTGCTTCCTCCTCGTAATTATGTAATGTTTACAAGAAGGGAAAACTCCATGGTGACCCAGTTACATAACTTTAAAAATATTTTTATTACTAGCAGCGCAGACTTGCAGGCCATCCATTAGACCGTCAGCAGTCAAACGTTTGACCAGAGCTCTGTTCCCACTTCCTCAGTGGTACAGATATTTCTTGGCTACGATGAGAGTCTGTTCTTCTAATGGATCCCTGTCATTTGGAGTTCGGGGAGGCTGGATCTCACTGACCAGAGAAGGAAGACTCAGGCTGCGGGCCGAGGGAGATCCGGATGTGGCCTGACCACTGTTTGTGTCCCGAGTCTTGCTCTGAGGCTCTGTTTGCTCAGAGCCCTGCTCGGCCGACTGCTGAATGCCCTCCTGTGCCACGGAGCTCAGGACAACCCAGCCTCTCCTTTTCCTGCCTCCTCATTAGAAACCTGCCAGCACGTCTTGCTGAGATTCTGGGAGTCTGGCAGGACCCGAGCGGGCCAGTTGTTCAGCCACTATGGATCTGTGGGTGGTGCCTGGGGACCCTTGAGCTGTTGAGCGGTGTGTGGGAGGGCCTCAGCTGAGGGGCCTGAGGCCAACCCACGCTGGGCCTCCAGTGGGGACAGTCTCCTTCTCCTGTCTTCTTAGTGAAGCACCAGTGGTGCAGGTACCTAATTATTTTTTTCAATGTCTTGCAGAAAGCATAGCTTATAATTCAGGGTTCCTCAAATTTAGATCCCTTTAAAAGATCTTTTTTAAAGATCAAAAAATCTCAAGTCATTCCTCCCCCTGTATTTTCATTTAACTTAATTATAATGTGATTTAAATGTGTGAAAACTTACCTACATCACTACAAGATCAGTGCATTCTTACAAATCATTTCACAAGCACAGTTACAAAATTCACGTTGATGGTATGACGTTAGGGTGACAGATGATGTCTTCCCCCTGAGATCAAACTGCCTCACACAGTGAAGAGTGAGAGCGCAGCGTGGACAACCCGCCTAGCTTTTTCAGTCTGGCCTGTGCACACTTCCTGGGACCCTGCAGTGACTCCGCATCCCCAGTTCAAAGCTGGGAAAATGAGCACCACATGCTCCCTTAGGTAGGGGTCCTTAGAAGGTGCTCATTGAATGCTTAGGACTGAATAAAAGAAGGAATAAGGTCATATTCATACAAGGTACGTAATAGATAATTGTAAACAAAACTCAATGATGGGTTTTGTTTTGTGGTCAAGTAATATGTGGCAGTAATCTGGCTGTAATGAAGGTGAGAACAATCGCCAGTATTACAAACGTTTTGAGTGCCTGCCACAGCCCTGGATGTGGCCTAGATCATTTGGTCATACTGTAGTCTGTATAATAACGAAGATCTCCCTGATATTTTAAAAGACTGTGATATTTAGCTCTTCTGCCTGTACCTTTTAATTTATTTATTTGAATAATATATTCTCCCTATTGAAATGATATAAAAGATGACGTGAGGAAAGTGTCCCTCCTACCCATGTCCTGTGGGCACCCAGTTTTACTCCTCAGGGGCAGTCAAGGTTAGATTATACGTTCTTAAGATTAAAAAGGTGAAAGCCAAGTTTTCTCTCTTTTTTGTAAGTTTACACTCCTGGTTCCAATCCCCAGAGACAACCTCAGTACAGGGTTTCATTATTTCCTTCCAGAGAGTCTCTGCCAGGAGTTTTTAACCAGGGATGACCCCCCCCCCCCCCACCCCAGGGGTATCTGGAAAGGTCTGGAGATTGTTGTTGTTGTTGTTGGGACTGAGGGGAGGGTGTGCTATTGGCATCTAGAGAGTGGAGGTTAGGACTGCTACTAAACACCCTACAATGCACAGGATGCCCCACAACAAAGAAGACCCGTAGTGTCCAGAGTGCCAAGATTGAGAAACCCTGTCCTATGCATGCATAAATGAGTAGATACAAATGTGCATACACACTCTCCTCATGCACACACAGTAGATTCCCCACACTGTGCTCCACCTTGTTGCTGCCTTTGCATTTTTAAGCAAGATCGCAGGCGTGCCTAGTCCAGCTTTGCAAGGTAGTTTGAATACCCTGATTCCTAAAGCTGTTCCTCTGACCACTGGGGAGCAGGGTGGAGAGCAGGACCGTCTCGACTCAGAGCTGCTGCTTTGCATCCTGGCAGGTGCGGCTTGCCTCTGGCTCCTGTGGCTTCTCTTTCCTAGCCCCACACCTGTAGACCTGCTGTAGCAGCCAGCATGCTGAAACCACCACAGGGCTTGGCGCACATTCCAGTGATGGAATCTCCACTTCTTTGCCAAGTCCTGGTTGAGACAAAACTCGCTGGCCCTCGCTGAAGTGTTGGGACGGAGCCTTCTAGTCTTAGTATAATTGAATTTGACCCCAGCTTGCCTGTGGAGCGGAAGGAGTGCGCTGGTTTGGCTGCTCCTCCCCACATTGCTCCGCTTGGCTGGATTTGGCTTCAGCCAGCTCTGAGGGATGGTCTTGCTTCAATGTCTTCCTTCAGAGGAAGAGCAGCTGGCCAGGTAGGCAGCAGTCTGAAGGCAGGCCAACCCAGCGGAGGGTACCTGGGAAGAGGGCACCTTTGGACTCACGTAGCCCAGCCTATTGTTCCTGGTCAGACAGGGAGGGGTTGGAAGACTGCACTCCTAACGCAAGTCCCTTCTCGCCCTTTCTACCAGGTCTTCCTGATCATACATCACGCACCGCTGGTGAACTCCTTAGCTGAGGTCATTCTGAATGGCGAGCTGTCTGAGGTGTATGCCAAGACTGAGCAGGACGTTCAGAGGAATTCTGTGAGTTGCTGGCTTTGGGACTGTCTTTTGACCTTGATAAAAGCCATTGCATGTTTTGTTAATCCACGTTTCTCTAAAATCAGAAACCAACATTTTGCTTACACAGCAATGATGATGCATAAGCTGATCTGTGATTCAAGAATCTAATCAGTCTTGAAATGCTTACCCAGGAAATTCTGGCTCAGGTATTTATGGTGGATTGATTGATCATGTGTTATTGAACAGGGATCGTACACTCTGGGCCTGAGATTGTGTATCTGTGAGGCACTGTTATTGGGGCAGGATGAGATGAGAGAATGCCCTGTCCGAGGCACAAAGACCCACAGAGGTGAGGCAGTGAGAGTCGAGGAATGGCAACGGCGCCGCGTGCGGGCTTGGCGAGTGCTGGGTGCGTGCAGGCTGAGCATGTCACCTCTCTGTGCGGCTGCTCTCCACCCCTGGTGCAGTTGTTCTTCAGGAATGGGGACACATCTCATGTTTCCGAACAAGCTGAAAATCTGCCTTTTTATGTAAAGTCTCCCAAGTTTTAAGTTATCAACAGTGTGTAGACTAAGAAGAGCATGCTTGTGGTCTGCAGGAGCCTTGGAGTTGTACTGTGTATGCTGCCAAAGCCAGTGTACCCGATGGTCGGGGTTGTGATGACTTCTGAGTCTTCCACTTGCCCTTGGTGTTTCTTTTTCTGTCATCCCTCTTACCGCCTGCTTGAATGGCCTAAGGTGCAGCTGCCTCTTCCCACCTGCCCTGTGCTCTACCTCCGTGCCTTGGCCCTCACCAGACCCACACCTGGAAGGCCCTTTCCCCTGATTTCTGCTCATCAGAGCTTTCACCCCTCTCAGCTCGCGGCAGGCTTCGTGTCTGTTGTCATGTCGCTGCAGCATGGGCTCAGTGTAAGTGCTGGGATGAGCACAGATTGTTTCATAAAAAGCCTGTTTCCTGAGAACTCTCTCTGCAGCCAGGTGCTCAGGCAAGAGACGTAGGCTAAAGGGCTGGGCCGGCCTGGGGTTAGTACCTGTGTTGTCATACCTGGACGAATGGGTGGAACGTGATCCTGCACAGGAAGAGTCATTGCTGCAGGGAGTACAGTTACAGGAGGCCCCTGCCCTTCTGGGTTTCCTGCTGTGCAGTGGTCTGGCCAGGCCATTTTACTGTTCAGGGGAGCATTAGGGCCTCTGAAAATGTTCCCAGGAACTTTCCTTCCTTGGCGGCGGTGGTAGTGGTATAGCCAAATTGGGGCCTTTTTGTGGCCTGTCCTATTCTGGCTTGATTCATTCAACAAATGCTTATTAAGTCCTTTCTTTGGGCTGTCATGCTGTTTCTGGAGGATATACCAAAGCATAAATGGTTTCTGTCACATTGGAGCTTTACAATCCAGTAGGAGAGACAGATATGGGTCAAATATGTAAATAAATGTACTCTCGAGTTTGTAAGTGCTCTGAGGGGAAGAAGTATTGGTAAGAGGGTGGCAGGGCAAGTGCTGAGCAGAAAAGACTCCTGTAGAGGTCTGTCTCCGACATCCCATGGTGTTCAGGGAGCTGGAGGCCCTTCCCTGCAACTCCCTAAACCAGCTTCACTAAACCAGTGCAAGCCACAGGAGGCTGAGTCGGCAGAATCGCTGGGTCATCCAGTCAGAGCGAGCAGTACCCGCCAGCCGGGTGACCTGCGCAAGTACTTTCACTCCACTTAGACGACAGGGAGAGCCAGCCCCAGAGCTGTTGGTGAGGGTGAAGACGTGTTCCAGATCTGTCCAGTGCCCAGCAGGTTGCAGCGTGGCCCTTGTACATTCCCAAACCTGGTTTGATCTTCACAGCGTTTAAAAGAAAAAGTTATGAATTACTGATATTAAAATTTATGAAGTTTCACATTGGAGTACAGATTTCTGGAGCCTCTTGAGATTCGGAAGATCTGGTCTCCGTTACGCATGTGTTTTTTGCAGGAAGCTTCATGGAGTTGCCCCCCGACCCCCGTCTGATGAGACATGTGTTTGCCGTTAAGTTTGCCTTGTCCCCACCCAGCCTGCTGCTAATTGACACTTCATTTACATTGTAACAATTCAAGCCGCATCTGGTCCCTCTGGACTTTGTTGTGGCATGTGATTTCCAGGCCCCGCGAAGCTGCCCAGGGTTCCTCACAGACTGTTGGCGTTGCAGTGTGGCTCAGACTTGGTGTCGCAAGGATGCGTTCACAGACCTCTGGGGTCTGGAGGTCATAGAGGGCTTTAAATCATGGCAGGAACACTTAACATGAGGTCTATCGACAACGCTCTGGGTGCAGACTGTGTTGTTGCTGCAGGCCAGTGCTGTGCAAGGCTCCGGGACCGTTCACCTTGGGGTGCGGTGCGCTTTGCATGTGCTGCAGAGACTTGGTCCCACTGAATAATGCCTGCTGCCCGCTCCCTCCCCAGGCCCTTCACCCACGCCTCGTTCTGCTCTCGGCTTCTGTGAGTTGGGCGGTGTCAGGTGCCTCGTGTAAGAGGAGTCCCAGTGTGTGTCCTTCTGTGTCTGGCCTGTTTCACTTAGTGTGTCCTCAAGGCCCATCCAAGTGTCACCTGTGGCAGAAACTCCTTTTTGATTTTTTTCTCCTTAAGGCTGGTATTGCATCATCTGTGATACCTATCTTCTTTACCCACTCGTCAATGGACATGCAGGTTTTTCAGTGGAGTTTTTTACTAAGATGATTGTAGATTTGCATGCAGTCTTCAGAAACTGTTCCTCAGCTTCCTCCAGTGGTGACATCTTGGGGAACTCGAGTAGGGTAGCCAAGCAGGATATTGATGTGACATTCTGGGTTTGCAGTGGAGGCAGAGGCCCATGCGGGTTTCTGGTGACTGCTCAGCCTGGGACACCTGCTCAGGTGCGTCCTCCCGTCAGAGGGAGTGTGGGAGACCTGCCCTTGTGTTGGCCTCTTCTTGGAGTGGACGTCCCGTCTCTGGTGTGACAGATCACTTTTGGGACACAACTGCTGGTTGGGATGGATGTCTGAACTGAAAATGAGGCTTTCGAGTGTGGAAGGAATTGCCAGCCAAAGTGAAAGTGCAGGCTTTCTCCTTCCGGTTACTGCCTTTCCCCAGGTGCGAGTCAAAGCTGGTTGTATTCTGATGACTGCAGCTGAAATTGGGGAAGAGCATGCATCAGGCGAATCCCCCGTTGACTTGCTTGACAGTGGTCCTGTGCCACTCACCTCCTTCCCTGTGAGCTCTCGAGAAGAGTCTCCTATTGTTTCCTGCCTGACTCGGATGTGGTTTGATCAAACTTGTTTTAGTTTCTTGGTCTTTTTTAACCTACTTTCTCCTTCCCGTAATTTGCAGATAAGTTACTGGTATTGCTTCATTTTTACCAGCAGACCTCTCACAGAACCAAACCAAAATTGGAGAGAGAGAGAAGCAGGGGGAGCAGAGTTATTCAGAAGGACTGTAATTCAGGGTTAAGTTTAAAACCCATCAGCATGGTTAGATAGATGTCTGATTGAAATTCATCTGTGCATTAAAATCATATGATTCCTGCTAGGGGATTGCCTGGTTGAGCAGAGAGCGAACACGAATTCTGAAGCTGACATCTCAGTCTTGTTGCAAAAAGAACATAAATTAAAATTTGGCACATACCTCGTTACCTCTAAGTGCGTTTTGTTTTGCTTTTGCACTTTTGTGTGTGTGTGTGTGTGTGTGTGTGTGTGTGGTGCTGGGGATTGAACCCATGGCCTTCGGCATGCAAGGCAAGCTCTGTACCAACTGGGTTATATCCCCAGCCCTCTGTAGGTGTTTTTTTAAAAAGGATTTTTTCCTATCCCGGGTTCCTGCAGACCAGTTTCCTTGGTTGTTGCATTCCTTTGGCACATGCCTGCTGTGTCCTGGTGCTGACAGATTGGGGATATGGTGGGACACAGCCAAGGTACAACCCCCACCAGCCCTGGCTTCCCACCCACTGTCTTGCGATGCTGTTGGCCGGGGCCACTGTGGGCTTGCAAGAGTGCGCAGGAGGTGCTCGTTGTGGACGTGAATGAATGATGCAGGGGGTGGAGTGGTGGCAGAGTCATAGGGGTCTCATGACCTCTTGGTGATGCCTCTCAGAGCAGAAGTCACTCTGAGCCTGTCCCTTGTGTGCCGTCTTCTCCAAGGCCAGGTTTAGGGGACGAATGTCTGAGAGGGTTACTTCTGGTGCCGTACTACATGCCCCCATAAGAGGCAGCAAGCCCTCTGGAGCCAGACTGCTGGTGCACTGGATCCTGCGTGCGTGTCGCCCTGGTGACGCCTCTGGGCCTTGGTCTCCTCCTGCTGCCATCTCTGCAGTGAGGACAGACATGGCTTCCATGGGTGAGGCCAACATGCTGTGCGTGGTGCTGTTCTGGGGCTGGCTGAGTCCGTCCAAGTAGGTGTGTCCTTGTGATAGTCGTCGTGGTGTCTGAGGCTGCGCAGTGACCCTGCCACCCCTCCACTTGGGACCTCGCCTCAGGACTGGAAGGCTGGTCTGGTCTGATGAACATGGATGCCCACGCAGTGTACCCCTCACGAGGCACCTCGTGGGCAGGAGGGAGAACTGTCCCCAGTGACCATGGTGACGAAGACCCCTGGTATTCAATGTTGAGTGGCGGTGACCAAGACCCCAGGGAGTTCTCTGCCCATGACGTAGCCGCCAGCTGTCACCTTGGGGGAGTGCCGATGCTCACTGCTCGCACGTGCCCCACGCTGCTGGACTGTGCGTGAGCGCTGAGGGTTCTGGGGCGGAAGTCTCACCTGTCCCCGAAGGAGGACATCAGCTGTCTCTCTCTGGGTGTCACCTCAGTTGGCCTGGGCTCCGAGAGTGAGCGTTCCCCTCAGATGTTAGCCAGTTCTCTGTGTGACAGCGCCTGGTGATGGGTGCTTCACCCGGGAGTGGCGTGTGGAACCAGGGACTAAAAAAGAGTGGTCTTGCTTCTTTGATTCAGAGCATTATTAACTGGCTAGGGTCCCTTGTCACTGCCCCAGGGCTCTTTCCAACCTGGCTTCATGTCCAGTGGCAGCTGGGTCT